CATTGTACTGGTTCAACAAAATATTGACATCATAATCCCTTTTGAGGTTTCCTGTGTGGTCTGGAGCATTTTACGAGCTGTCTCGTGTGCTGCGCATTCTGTCAGTCATAGTCTTGACATAGCTATTCGCATCCAAATGACTTTCTTGTGGCAACACTGAAAACATTAGGTCTGCTGGTGTAGTGACCTCCGCGCCAAGCATCAGCTTATTGGCTGTGTACCCTGTACTCGGTTGACCGCGACTCGGCGTAAGGCAAAAGCAATTAGTGGCAGGTGAACATCCCATTCTTCCTGATCCTTGATGAAGCAGCGGACAGCATCCATGAGTGTGCGCGATTGACAGCGCTCTACCTGGCCGTTTGATGATGGGCGATAAGGAGTGGTCCTGGTTTTGTGAATTTGGAGTGTGTCACATGGCCTTGAACAACCTACTTTCAAAATTCCTACCTTGATCAGTGTGGATAGCAAACGGGGAAGCCAAAACGGGAAAGAATTCATTGAGCTGCACCGCTGGCAGTTCCTCAGCCCCTTGTGAAGGCAAGGGTATACATTCGACCCATTTGGAAAACTGGTCTACGCATCATCAGAATGTGTTCATTGCCACTCGATGGCGTTCTTGGCAATGGGCCCAAAAATCTAAATGAACCCTTTCCATAGGAGCTCCTGCATGGAAATTGGTCATGGAGTGTTTTGCCTTCCTATTGCCCTTCTAACTGCTTAGCGTTACACTCAGAGCAAGTGGATACATGAAGTTGAATGTCACGCGACATACCATACCAGTGATAATTGGGTTTGATCCTAGCCTTGGTTCGCTTTCTGCCCTTGGTGACCTGCTGAGGGAATATTGTGATGCAAATAGAGGACATCATGGTGAAGATCCTTCGAGGACCAATTGACGCTTGGAGTCCAGGGTCATATACAGAATGCCGTCAGAAATGTGGTACAACTCCTTGTTCAGGTAATAGAATTTGCTTGCTGGACTGGATAGATTCGGAAATGACTCTGTGTGGGTTCTACACCATTTAACAAGAACTCTAGAATGATATCCAGATCTGTGTCATTCCTCTGAGCATTGAGAATGTTATCTCTAATGTGGGTATTGAATCTCATCCTCAGAGAGTATCAGATCCCCCTTGAGAGCTTGCCTGACCCTGAAATCTGAGTCTGTTCTAGCAGATAATGGGTAACCCTCATCGATGGACGCACAACCTCCAGTGGAGGGTAATGCTCCTTCAAACACCTGGTTTTTGGCCAATCTGTCGAAGGATATATCCAAGGCACCATCAGGGGTTACAAGAATGTTTACATCTGGAGATGCTGACATGAAATTAGGAGACTCATTCACGTTCCTCACTGATTGGGTGTCTGTCGGGTCGCACCTGGAACTTGATTGGTCTAGGCACAGAGGCTTGTCATTCCCAGCTGGAGATGGCGATTCTCTTGTGGATTGAGTTTCACCTCCATTGGAGGGTGAGTGAGTGGTCAAAAGAGTGCTAGCTTGATGAGTGGGATCTACAGGGGACTTGGGACCCTTGGACAGTGGCAGCACATCGGTCAACAGACTGGCGAAATTCATACCAGTTCTGGTGAGCCTTCATACAGTACTTGCAGCCATGGCAAGGAGCTGAGATGGAAGGACATCAGTGTCTACATTTGGGCAGGCTGTCAGAGGTGGACGGCCGGGATAGGGAGTCAGCATTACAGTGCTTAGAGCCTGGCCGATGAACTACTTTTCATAGAATACTGGCTCACCTCAAGCCATCTTGCAAGCTGGCCGTTAGGTCGTTAAAATTCATGAGCCACTGCAAACTGCTGTGGTCCGTTCTGAGCATAAACGGTCGGGCCAATTAGGTAATGCCGATAGGGCCCTGGTGAACTTCACAACAGCCAGCAGCTCCTTTCGTCGTACAGTACAGTACCCTTGAGTTGTTCTTTTGACAGAGACAGGCTTCCATAGCGATGACCTTTTCAACACCATTCTGGACTTGAGTCAGTTCTGCACCAAGAGCATAGTCAGATGCATCAGTGTCTAAAATGAACGGATCATCCATGTTGGCAATTCCCAAAACTGGAGTGGACAGCAGGGCATCCTTTATCGCTTGGAATGCCTGTTCACGCTCATCAGTCCAGAGTGGTTTTTCTACCCGCCACCTGGTACAATGGCAGAGCCAAATCAGCATACTTTGGTATAAACTGAGCGATGATAGTTTGTTAGTCCTAGGAAGCGTGCTCAACGCCCTTGCAAGAGTTTGGGGTTGGCCACTGCTCCACTGGGCGCTGACATCAACTCCTGCTTCAAGGCCATCTGGACCAATTTTTCGTCCCCAGGAACTTCGACACTCACTTGAAAGAGTTCACACTTCTTCGGGCTTCAACTTGAGTTGATACTTCCTGAACCTCAAAAAAAACTTCTCTCGAGGTTGTCAAAGTGGCAGTCAATTGTTTTCCCCCAGAACCAGTGTGTCATCCAGGAAAGCCAAGACAATTTTCCAATTCAGCCCAGCTAGAACTAAATTGATGACACGATCAAAGGTGGCTGGGGCATTACACAGACCAAAGCCCATCCTGGTGAACTTCAACAAGCCATATTTAGTGATAAACGCAGTCTTGTGCTCGGTCCTCTGCTTTGATAGGAATCTGCCAGTATGCATTATTGGCATCAAGCTTTGAGTACCACACATTGCTAGGACAGTGATTCCAGACATTCTTCTATGAGTGGCAGAGCAAATACTGTCCACGGCATTGTAGATTGAGCTTTACGGTAATCCAAGCACCATCTTACTCCACCACATCTTTCCTCACTAGTACAGCGGTGCTGCTGCCCATTCTGAAGTGGAGGGTTGGATAACCTGAAAATCAAGCATCTTCTGTAAATGACTTTCCTCCTCGTGGTGCAAAGCTTGGCGGAGTTCGTCTCATCCGCTTCACAGGTCGCGGAATCACCTGTGTCAATAGTGTGCTCTATGGCTGTGAAGTTGCCTAGATCCATGTCATGGCAGTTTAACACATCCTGAATTCAATGAGCAGCCTCTCAGAAGCTTTTTCACATCGTCTTCTGTTAGCTGGCGCTGAAGATTGATTGAAGAGGTCTCGAAGGTGCTCTGGTACTGAAGTAGCTTCAGCTGACTGACGAACACAGAACAAGTTGTCTTGATTGTGGTGAAATTAGGGCAAATCCTCTTCAAAGTTGGTACCTCCTGTGGGTGGATCAACCTTGTCAGTCTTGTCATCACCTCCATAGTCAGCTACAAGATCAGCTTCAGAAACTCCTCGCCAACAGCTGACCATGTGAGAGTTTAATGGCTTCATCACCGAGGTTTACAGCACAGACAGCTGGACCGCTCGAACTATCGTGGAACGTCCGAGGAAGCACTCACGGATAAATCAGGGCTGGTTCACAGTAGGTAATGACTTGCTTCAGACATATGATGTGTCACACATGAGAGTTGTACTGCTGATCTGGCAGGGAATGAAAACTTCCTTTGTGAGATGGACTGAAAAGATTCAAATGAGGGTGCCTTTACAGAAAATATTAGTGGAAATGTATGGCCCTCAAGCCTCAACCAATCTCCATCAGTTTCAATGCAACAGTGATGAGACTTCATGAAATCAAGTCCAAGAAGGAGATCCTCCTCTAATGGGGCAACATGGAGTAACTCCTGGAACATTTTGTTCCCAATCTTCACCGTGACTGGTCCAACCACTTTTCCTGTCATGACCATATTCTTTCCGCATTTCTAATGTTGATGATTTCCAGGGTAGGTGGAGTTGGATCAAGTTTCTTATATATGTCCTCAGCAAGAATAGTCACAGACGCTCCAGAATCTATAACGCAGGGACCTTTATACCTTCCACTGTCACTGGTAACCAATAGCTGGCATTCAATCCCTTAGCCTGATTGATGACAACTTCCTAGTGGGCTTGCAAACACTGGGGCCTGCACTGGATGATATACCATTCTGGGCCATTGGTGGTGAATCACTTTCCTCGACATGTGGGGAACACAGTTTTCCATTAATGGAAGTAGATCCACCTATGGTTGTCAATTGTTCATTGTTGGATATAGGCACAGGGGTAGGTTGAGATGAGATTACATCTGAAGTCATGTCGGGCCTAAGATGAGATGATACCCTCAGGCATCGACTGCCCAACCAAAATGTCTGAGTCCTCCCTGCGGAGGGTCCGTCCAGATTAGATCGTTGACAAGTTGGGTTGTCATCAACCTCCTGTTGTGGTATAACAGAAGTGTCAGTGGGCATTTCATTATCTGTTGTCTCTAGAATAAAGTTTGTGCAACTGGACCCCACAAGAACTCCTGGTCCCACCGAGTCGCACATTCCTTTGCCACTCCAGATGGGGCAGCAAGCTGCACGCCTGTTACAGGAGGCATCCTATCCCTCATGTTCCCTTACCAATGTAGATGGGGTGGGACTCTCTTGCTCTGGTGCACCCTTCATAAAATCCCTGACAGACTGCAACAGTCTCTGCTGCAAATACTTGTTGTTCTTCCTAAACTCTACGAGTGATATGAGTGAGTGGCCATGATACTGCCTCGATGAGTCAGATGGTGCCCCAGACTTCAGCACAACTGTCTCTCCACCTGTGGGGATTACTGGGACATCGAATCGACAACTGACTGGAAAAGTCATCATCAATGTAATACTCAGCAGAATCAAAACTTGACCGAGGTTTAAGCATGTCCGAGGTGTCAGCAGACTCTGACCTCGAAGTCTTGAATTGTGTCCTGGGGTAGTGATTCAAGTTCAGGGTTTATAAGAACATGGCTTTCTGCATCAACCAAATCTGAAGCTAACTTGGGGCTGCATCCGTCGATGAGGAAACAGGCAAGTTTTGGCCCATCAGAGAAGTTGGACATCACATGGATCATGTTCGCATTATGGGCTCACAAGATGGACTTCCGGTGGTTGGAGTATTTTATTTACTGCAAAGGTATTTGGTCGTGAAGTCAAACTTGCTGAAAATTCCATTACAGCCTTTGTGTAATCCTCGAACTCCTGGCACCACGGCAAGGGATTTCTACAATGTCAGTCCCGACACCCCAAGGATTTACACTGTCGGTCTCTGGTTGTTGGTGCACATGTCCTGATGGTTCACTTGTGGTAAGAGACCCATGTTGGTCTACTCCTATGGGTTCTCACCTGCAGGAAGTCGATGAAGGTGTCACGGAATAGTTGTCCATGTGATACAAATCTTGTCCCTAACTGACATTAATTTCTGCTGTCGCTGAATTATAAGTTGTCACCGACAATGGAACACCCTCTTCACAATTGTGTGTGAAACTGTGTAGGGGAAACAGAACCTCCAGCGATTATTGTCTTAAGGGCCCCTCGAGATTCGAGTCACAGTCAGCAAATTCTGTTGGCGGTGGTTGGCCTACCGGTTGTGTACGGTCGGCTTTAGGCCAAATGATCCGACCTCGTCTGTTTAAAGACTTTTCATCAAAGGACACAGACTTTGATATTTTCGGCAATCTCGGATGAGATGGTTAGGTCTTTGCAGTAAAAAGCACCCAGAACGAGATGGCGGTAGTAGGAACGCTGTCTACTTGTTTGTTGTTCGATTGCACCGTGAAATACTCAGCTGATCAAACCTTGTGGCGATGCATTTAAGACAGTGCGGCAATGACATTATCTACCTTACCAGAGAGATGTTTTACTTGTTGGTCCAGAGCGACTGTGTACTCAGGTGTACCAAGTGGTGTAGATGTTGTCACTGGGTGTTGGTGTCTGTACCTGAGCAGACAGTGTACCGTCAGACTGCTGTAGATCCCTCCTTGGAGACTGTGGAGACATGCAATACTCATTCCTTCCTGATAAAGAGAGAGATTGTGGGACCTCCCGTGGAGCACGATCAGCTCCTGTGGAACATATGGACGCCCTCTTGAGGACAAACTTTGCCTTGACTTGTCAAACCCACGAAGTTCAGCCTTTGCAAGCAGATCCTCATTTTCACTCGTCGCCTTGAAAATAAGACTCTGAAACTCGGCGAGCCTGTTTATGGGACGCCCACTGATTGGTGTAGAGTGCCCGACGGATGATGCGAACAGCTTCGGCCCACTGTCTGTGGTCTCATGTTAAAGGCCCAAGCCCCTGCATCGAATCCAAACAGCCTCTACAAACCTTGTTAATTGCCTGTGTTTCACTCCATACAACGCAGGGCAGGTAGCAAAAGAGTAGCTGGCTTGTAGTTTCACACGGTCCGCAAAGTCTCTAATATCTTCATCTCTGGGCCCCCTGCATCAGATTGTCAAACTTTATTGACTCTTCAGCTGGATTCTCACCAGCGGCATAACGGATCCGAAATCTGATACTAAAGTACTCCAAGGAATAGTTGACAAGGGTCTATCACCAACCAACAAGCTGTAGTACAATGCAGCACCACCATGCAGTGTGTGTACAAATTCTTTTTCCTTTCAGCCCCAACCACATGATTCACCAAAGATTCATATTTCAACAGAAAGGTTCTCCAGTCACCAGATCCGTCAAATGTGGGAGGCTTCGACGGTGTCCGGTCAAAATGAGTTCTGCTCTCATTGAAGTATCTGGTGGAGTGATTCACAGTGCGGTTTTCACCGAGGTCCTGGTATGTGCGCCATAGTTCTCACGCGTTCAGCTGTGCTGAAACGGTTGAGTGATGAACGGGGTGAAACACTGTATGCAGTTTGTTCATATTTTGAACTGCCCAATAAAGAATCCTTGGATTCAAATGACAAGCACTGTTTGGCAATATCACAAAGTTCTGGCAAATTACGTGCTACATCATCAAACTTCAGGTCACCTTTGCTATCTCTCAGTTTAAGGATGTTGACTGCAGCACTCTGTGTCAACTCTTTAAGGGGAATCAAATCCTCTAAAGTGGCTACATTGATGCACACAAGCATCATGGAGGTTGGGCGACATTGACACTACCTCAAAACAAAAATAGTGCACAAATTGTGATCCAATAATGATAATCGCCAATTCAACAGTCGCAGGTATGAGGCTCAAAAACACCAGTACTCTTTCTACAAATAGCAAACTTATCAATCACCTGGGTCAAATGGCTGTCAGTGCAACTGCAGCGCTTTCAAATGTCAATCCCAGCCCAGGATATATATGGCAAAATCGCCTCCAAATTTGTGGAAACCTTCAGCTGGTAATCATACAAAGCAGTCCCCCACTCTCATCCAATAGTCACTCATGAACTGAATGAAAACCCCAACGGCCAATCTGAACTCAGTCGCCACAACCATGCGATGCCAGACACCAGCCATGTCCACAAATAAACCAAAACTTCAGTTCTAAAAATCACAAAGCTGACATAACAACCACTGTCAAAACGTTGAAAGATAAGTACAAAACCTTCCACACAATTTAAAACAATACCACTCCAAAATATCGAGCCAAACTATCACAGTTCACCTCTGGCTAAGCAGTATAAGCACGAGCTCACAGTCACAACCACGTGTCACAAACGCCACCGACTTAACTCCAAAACAAATCAAAATGCGATGGGCCCAAAAATATCTAGAACTCGTAGACAACTTCACAGGGAACTCAATGATTTAACAGTATTTAGAATTAGACAAAATTTTCATTTATAGTATGGTACATATAATCATTTAGAAGACTTGACATTTTTAAATATCTTACAATAAAAATTACAATTGATTTGTGTTCTCTTATGACCTGACATGATGATAACAGAGGTTATGGTTAAACTCCTATACCACCTACTACCTCTTATTCCACTATGCTAGAATATGTTTTCATGGATATTTATTTCTAGTCTTTAGACTCTTTACAAAGTATGGCAGATACATTATACCAGCGCCTTGAGCATGTACTAGTTGTGTGGATATGTGCGCTATATAAATATCCTATTCAGCCATGTACACATTAGTTTTAACACATTTAACAATTTTATGGATATTGTATACTAACTTTTACTTTTAGAGTTGCAGGTATATAATTTCTTATGTGTACTAATAAATGTTATTTTTTCTATAAACAGGTCTGGTCATTTTGAAACTGACTACATCATCATAACAAAGGTCTATTATTAGCTATATAGTCATTCCTGCAAAAGAAATACTAATACTAACTATATGTTTTCTTTAAATCTTTATTTACAAAAGAACCCGCAAAATAATGAATTTTATAATTATAACTTCATTTGTACAATGTTTACAGATTCGCTTGTGAAAGGTTTGAACTCAAATGACCAAGATGTCCTCAAGAAGTCCATGCAGCAAGCTGACCAACTTATTGCGAAACACCAGCCTGGGAAAGCAGATGATGGCTCCACTGATGCTTATGATGGAGATGAAATCCACACAAAAACAGGTCAACAATCAACCTTGTATATCATTTCATCAAATGGTTGATGTCGATTTCCAAACAATTCCTTCTGACAAGACCGCCTCCGCGGTGTAGTGGTTAGAGCGTCCGCCCGGAGAGCGGAAGGTCGCGGGTTCGATCCCCGACCGCGTCATACCAAAAGACGTTAAAATATGGTACTTGTTGGTCCCTGCCTGGCGCTCGGCATTAATGGGTACAACACTGACTGGTCGGCTCGGAGTCAGTATAATGTGTCTGAGTGGGGTATTCATGCTTCACTGCAGCATGGTATCTCAGTGGGCTAGCACTATAAAACCAGCTTTAGTCTGGGCTAGTACAAGCAGCCGCACATACGCATACACACGCATGCACGTTGTCATATGAGCGAAATATTCTCAAGCACAACGTAAAACCCAATTTCACCTCACCTCACCTTCTGACAAAATATCTTCCAATCAACATGTATATAATGAGAGCTTTCATTTAATACAATATCTCTTTCCACATGAAGATCTGACAGTCCCTCTTTAGTAGGTTAGTTCTGGGCCTCCTTTCACAAAGCACTAAGGTGATCATAAGTCACTAAGGTAACCTTAGTGCAATGTTAAAGAATGGGAATCAAGGTTAACCTTAGTAAAGGTTGCTTCGTGAAAGGAGTCCCAGGTGAATTAAATCTCCAATCAGCCATTTACTGCTGAGACCTTTGAATTTTGTTACAAGTGAGCCATGCACTCAGACTTCATATGAAACATGGAACTAATTTAAACATACATGTCCATGATATCAACTCAGAATTGTCCTTGTGTTGATTCAAGGATAGGATATGTCCCCACCAGCCTATGCTGGTCATAAGAGGTCACCAAATGGTTTGAGTCATCAGTCTCAATGTCTTGATTGATTACATGTCAATCTTACTAACAGTATTGATTACTGTATTTCTAAATATTGCTGATTGCAGCATTTAATAGCAACCAGTCACGTCTCAAATGTGTTACCATCTTTATTTTGATTACAGGATTTAATCGGACAGTCATCAGTAAGGCTGACCCAGATGAAGAGGGGATTACAGGCCCAAGTGTTGAAACTGGCCTGAATCAGGGTAGGTATAGTGGGTGCAATACAGTTGACCTGACAGGGACCTGATACTTTGTAACCAGTGTGAGCTGAAGTGTATAGGAGTGTTGCAATAACATATTTGAAGTCATTCTTTGAGTGATGTTGAGAAATAGGGTCTTAGACTAGAAGTGGTATCAAGATATGGCATTGTACATAGTAAACAAGAAATGAATGAATTCCCTCTTAAAAACATGGCAAGTAATGGTTGCAGCAAAGTGAATGAAACTAGCGTTGCAACATTCTTTACCAGCAATGTCACAACAATGTTGTGTTACAGATGCTTTCCTGGCTGCCATGGAAACTGATGCCAAGGAGAGCAGAGCGACGACGAGTTAGAGAGAAGGAGGCTCTGGTAATAAAGGAGAAAGGAAATGCTGAGTTCAAGGCAGGCAGCTATGACAAGGCACTGGAGTTGTACTCACAGGTAACAGGACAGATCATGAATACTTGTATCTAAATTGTTCTGGCCCCGGGATCATGAAAAAATCTTAAGTCTAAAATTTGCTTAGCACAAAAAAATCTTAAGTCTAAAAACATTTGCTTAGCTAAGATTTTAGTTAAGACTGGATCATGAAACTGTCTCCGCTGTCTCCGCAAAATCTTAGCTAAGACTAAGACTAAGACAGTTACCATGGTAATCATAGAATTATGTAATCATGTCCGGTCACTCTTAATTAAGTTAGGAAAATAGTTTAGTAGCAGGCACCTGCTGAAATATTCCAAACAAGTCAACCGATGCTTTTATCCCTGCCGCGGTGAATTTTAGTGTCTTTACGGTTGGGATGTTTTCGAAAATACACCAACGCGAACGCCTAAGTGCGCTTTCTGCCATATTGCATTGGATAGTGTTTTCAAAATCACGTTACGCGAAGGCCGGTATTGAGACTCCTATTGCATCACATATATTTCCTATTCAGCTGTGACAAATACATCACTGAATTCCTCATACATTTTAGTATCAAATAAGAAATGGTCTTTGTCACTAAAACCAAGTGTCTAGGTGATATGAAACGAATGCTGTGCGCGAAAGACAGCACTTGATGAAATGTAAACAAAGAAAAATTCAGACTTTACACTATGTACTGCATTTTCGCAAATTTCAGACACCCATTCGTCTATTCGTAGCATGCATAGGCTCAATACTTTTAGATCATACATGGAAATAGTATCGTAGCAAGAAATAGCAAATTAAATACAATACAGTAATGTGATACCTTTATACAAAATTGGCAAAGTTTCTGTGTGTGCAGCGTGACGCCATGACTGAAGGAAAATCTCGCAGAACAACAGTAATGATGGCATATCTGGCTTCTTCTCTTACTTACAATGAAAATGATAAAACATATAACAATACACAGATAGTCAGAATCATTCTGATTACTTACATCACATATTTATGTACAAACGATCCCCGAATCAAGGGAAAGGTCCTTGCAAACTCCTGTGTACCTATGTCAGCGAGGCCGCCATTTTGTAAGAAATTGGTCAACGGTAGTGATGTCATAACATTGTTGTTACATATTTGGCAATTTCTTTGAGGTGAAGGTCTGTTGAATAGGAGTAAACACAATCGCCATGTCCCACCGATTACACTTTCAGTGTTACAATGTTAATGGATTTATTCAGGACATTATTTAAATGGTAAAATCAGTCATTTTAAGTTCTGTTGAAAGAGTGTTAAATTTAAGAAATTTTTTTGGACTTCAGACCAAAATGACAGATTTAAGCAAATTTTAGACTTAAGTCACTTTCATGACCCCGGGGCCTGAAGCGTTTCTCCAAATTCTGCTGCAAAATGTTCCTGTGTGGATAAGGTAAAAAGTGCCTGACCCTGGTTAGATCATGTTATTCGCACTCCACTCCTTTGCCCTCAGACACAGCTGACATGTAAATTGAGTGGTAAGTGCCATCACATTCAGCAGCATGACCATGGTGTTCACCACTAGTTGGCCAGACTCACTTCATGCTGCTGTCATTTAGCCTGTATACTGACCATTGAAGTGTAAAACAAGGAACATACATGTGTGTGTGATATCTAGAAACTGTAGTTTCTTGGATGGATTGGGTGGACTTTTGTCTAATGAATCTTTTGTAAAGAATTCTGTTAAATTGCTTGTTTTAGAAAGCAATAAACTACATTTAATATACACACTGGACGACTTCATTCACACAGTTTGAGCTTTATATGAATACTTACATGGTTTGGACAGACCACTTGAGTAATGAAACAACAACATCCTATAATTCACCATTTATCCTTGTAGTTGTAATAAGAGCTTGTGTCAATGTTTTTCAGGCAATAGACAAGGTGCGGGACAGCACTGCGTTATACACCAACCGTGCTCAAACCTACATCAAACTGGGACGATACAAGGAAGCCCTCACAGATTGTGACTGGGCCCTCAGAGTAAGTTTGATTATCTTCACCAGATATGGTTGTGTGTCATGGTACCCTGATGTGGTTGTATGTCATGGTACCCTGATATGGTAGTGTGTCATGGTACCCTGGTGTGGTTGTATGTCAAGGTACCCTGATGTAGTTGTGTGTCATGGTAGCCTGATATGGTAGTGTGTCATGGTACCCTGGTGTGGTTGTATGTCATGGTACCCTGGTGTGGTTGTGTGTCATGGTACCCTGTTGTGGTTGTGTGTCATGGTAGCCTGATGTGGTTGTGTGTCATGGTCCCCTGATGTGGCTGTGTGTCATGGTAGCCTGATGTGGTTGTGTGTCATGGTAGCCTGATGTGGTTGTGTGTCATGGTAGCCTGATGTGGTTGTGTGTCATGGTAGCCTGATGTGGTTGTGTGTCATGGTACCCTGATGTGGTTGTGTGTCATGGTAGCCTGATGTGGTTGTGTGTCATGGTAGCCTGATGTGGTTGTGTGTCATGGTAGCCCTGATGTGGTTGTGTGTCATGGTAGCCTGATGTAGTTGTGTGTCATGGTAGCCTGATGTGGTTGTGTGTCATGGTAGCCTGATGTAGTTGTGTGTCATGGTACACTGATGTGGTTGTGTGTCATGGTATCCTGATGTGGTTGTGTGTCATGGTACACTGATGTGTTTGTGTGTCATAGTCCCCTGATGTGGTGTGTCATGGTAGCCTGATGTAGTTGTATGTCATGGTAGCGTGATGTGGTTGTGGGTCATGGTAGCCTGATGTGTTTATGTGTCATGGTAGCCTGATGTGGTTATGTGTCATGGTACCCTGACATGGTTGTGTATTGAGGAACCTTGATGTGGTTGTGTTTCATGGTATCCTGATATGGTAGTGTATTGAGGTACCTTGACGTGGTTGTGGGTCATGGTATTCTGATATGGTTGTGTATTGAGGTACCTTGATGTGGTTGTGGGTCATGATACCCACATGTGGTTGTGTGTCATGGTACCCTGATGTGTTCTACAGTTTTCACTCACGTAAAATTGCTACGAAGGGACTTGCTCTTGAAATGAAAAGAAGTAATCGTAAGGCTGTCTGATACCCTTATCAAATGTTAAAGGTAATGTTGTTAACAATGTGGGTCATGTGAGAAGCAAGTTTTACAGTTCTGTAAGCTGATGCCCCATTGTTACACTATGCCAGGTGTCCCCAGCATGTCTGAAGGCCTACATCCATGCTGGCCGGGCCCACCTAGGTCTTCAAGAGTATGCCAAGGCTCGAGACTTTTACAATCAGGCCTTGCAGCAGGATCCAAAGAAGGAAAGCATTATTAAAGGTAGGCTTTCTTTTCTACAGCTGCCTGTATAAAGGTTATGAGACTAGGGCTGTGCAATATTGCCAGTAAACAAGTATAGATAGTACAGTATCTCACAATACGAATATCGTGATATGGTTCAGATTCTGCAATATATTGGGTCATCCAGAGTTAGCTCCCTTTGAATTATCAATGATTTCCAATAGCAACAAAACATGCTCTAAAACTGCTAAATATACTTTTATATCTGTTGGTCTTATGTAGGATTTTACAAGTGGAAGCATCTTTATAAGTGGCAAATATTCTACCAAATGCTTTAAGTTTTGCGGCTTTGAATGGTTTCATATGTGAAATTTTGGGGCAATTAAGTTGCCTCAAATGGACCAATTTTTTATTTGGACTTATTAGTAGAGCCTATGGCTCTGAGTGACCATTTCACAATTCAAATACTTCAGCCAATTAGTATATATATTGGTAATGTTTCCTTCCATGCCAGAGTACCTGTCAGAAGTGGACAGAGCTGAGCAGACGGCCAAGGAGGAACAGACGGCACAGGACCTGTTTGAGTCAGGAGACAGCAGTGTCAGAGGCTTGGTTGAGACCTTAACGAAAGTGAACAAACCAGACCACCTTCCTCTGTTCTATAGTGGAGGATTCCGTGTCATCTCCAGTCTCATCACCAGCAGTGAGTCAGTTGTATAGTCTCATCACCAGCAGTGAGTCAGTTGTATAATTTCATTCATCACCAGCAGTGAGTCAGTTGTATAATTTCATTCATCACCAGCAGTATGTCAGTTGTATAGTTTCACTCATCACCAGCAGTAAGTCAGTTGTATAGTTTGATTCATCACCAGCAGTGAGTCAGTTGTATAGTATGACTAGAAATTATTGAGAATTTTAAGAATAATTGGATTTCTAGTATAAACAACCTTGACCAGCTATCAAGTGCTTGGTTTCATTCAAGAGAGTTTGTGAAGAGTTATCCCCCTTTGTTTACGTGCTAGCAGACGACATTTCCAGTGATCCTCAGTATGGATGATTAAGAGAAGAGGAAGTTGATTTTAGAGTATTATAACAAGGACATCAGATCAGCTAAAGTGATTTCAAGTAGAACAGGCATCCCTTTGTCCACTGTTTATCGTGTTTTTAAAAATATTGCAAATGGATATGGCATTGAGCACCAGGGAGGCGCAGGTAGGCCCAGAAAATTGACTGTCGGGGACAGGAGGCGGCTTGGTATTCTTGTTTCTAAAAACAAAGGAAGGAGTTTAGAAAACTTAAGGCTGGATGTGATTGATAGAGAAAGTGTGGCTGTCTGTAAGGAGACAATTAGAACTGAGCTGCATGCAAGGTTTGCAGAAAAGTCGAGGAATTCCATCACTGATAATGAAACCCGAACAAAAGGAGCGAAGGTTGAACTGGTGCTTACAGCATAGAAATTTTAACTGGGAGAATGGGATTTTCTCAGATAAAAGTTCTGTGTGGCTGTTTCCTAATACACTGAAATTCTGGACCAAACAAACTGAAAAACCTATGTATCAGCACCCAAAGTACAGTCCGAAATTTAACGTGTGGGGTGGCATATCTGTGTTATGGGCAACGCCCCTCTGTGTATTTGAAGGGAATATGAACAGTGAGCAGTACACAGATATAATCTCGAGGGACATTTACTTCCATCTGTTCACGTGTTCTATGGACATTTTTGGATTTTCCAGCAGGACAACGCCCCAAAACATCGTTCAAAGCATTCACAGGCCTGGTTTCGGACCCAAAATATGACATTATTAGATTGGCCAAGCTATAGCCCTGACCTAAATCCAATAGAAAATGTTTGGGGACTTATGAAGGAAAGTGTCAATAAGAAAAATCTGACAAATATTGCTGAAATGAAAGAAGAGGTGGTCCGATATTAGGACAGCATGGACCACGACTTTCTAACTTCTTTGATCAGTAGTATGCCCTGCCGCATTGAAGCCTGCATTGCTGCCCATGGGGACTTGACAAAATACTAACTGTTCACCTTTCTTTGAATCTGGAGTTATGTTCTGCTAATATTCATATGTAATATGCGAGTAATGAGTGAAATTCTTTTTTAAAAATTTACAATCTTAAATTCTCAATAATTTCTGGTTGTACTGTATAGTTTCATTTATCACTAGCAGTTCATTCATCACTAGCAGTGAGTCAGTTCCTATAATTTCATCACAAGCAGTGAGACCTTTGTATAGTTTCATCACTAGCTGGGTCAGACAGACTGATCCATATTTGGGTTCTGTTAGAATCCATGAAACAGCACAATGAACACTGCACTATTGCCAGTGTTCATTTATCAGGAGAATTCACTCATGACACTTCACTTTTATCTGTATGTTGTTACATAATTATTTATCTTCCATTTAGCCTGTTAGACCCAGGGCTATTATAATGTATGAAGAGCTATTTGCTTTACAGTCATGTGTGATCAGACTTTGATTTACAGGGACGGTAGTTTAATCGTTAAAGCAGTTGCTTGTCACGCTGAAGATGTTAGTTTGATTCCCCATGTGGGTACAATGTCTTTAAGAACATTTACATTGTCCCCTGCTGTGATATTGCTGGAATATTGCTGGAATATTGCTAAAAGTCGCATAAAATCACGCTCATTCATTCACTGTATCTTGTTGTCTGTGTTACTCCTAGTGTTGGACAAGGTGGGGAAACCAATATTTTAATGGTTTTAAGGATGGTTTGAGTGCTCCCCCATGTGATGAAACATGAAAGTTTGCTACTGACCAGCTCTGGGACTTTGTAGTTTTGGATACATTCATCTTTTTTTGCAGCTGAGGACAAAACACTCTTCAGAACACATGGGGGTCTGATGTTATCACAAGATCATCCAGTGTTTTCAAGGTAAGAGGTCATGTTGTAAATCATCTTTTGTTGACTGGGTTTGGATGAAAGAAGGTTGAAACATTGCAGACAGGTTAATGGGGAGAGTCATAGAAATACCTGTTTGAGGGAAGGCATTGCATATATTTAAGGACAGATGATTCTTTTACTTTGTCACAGATATGCTATCACTCATGCCAGTTAAACATCTGTGACCAGGCCTGAAAAAAATGCAGTTAAAGCTTGTGGTCACGAGTTGAGTGGCAGATGACAAGTTATTACTGAAACACAGTTGTTATTGAAAACACCCTGGTACAGCATGTATGGGTTCCTGACTTACTTTACTTCTGCTTATTTCCTCTCCAAATGTGATTTACAACCACCTCTAGTCTTTTTCTCAAGTATGCATAATCTGAAAATACATAAAAAAACTGTAGCAAACAGTGATGTATTTACACATTCCATGTTAGAATAGGTCCTTAGCAAAATGACCGCCTCCGTGGTGGAGTGGTTAGATGGTCCGCCCGGGAGAGCGGAAGGTCGTGGGCTCGATCCCCGACAGCGTCATATACCAAAAGATGTTAAAATGTGGTACTTGTTGGCCCCTGCCTGGCGCTCGGCATTAATGGGTACAACAAGGACTGGTCGGCTTGGAGTCAGTATAATGTGTGTGAGTGGTCCTGCATGGCCAGCATATGTTCAATCCTATGTCTTAAAGAATGTTCTGTGACTGCTATCATTACAGGTGCTTGTCTCCACGCCCCTTGTCTCACTAAAGATGAGAGCAGTAGTTTGTTCATTCCCCAAAGTCTTAATGAACAACCTGTGTCTGTTGTTATTCTTACAGGTGCTTGTCTGCCTGTCCTGTGAGTCTGTCTAAAGATGAAAGAGATATGTTGGTGGCTGGTATTGACATGTTGACTCATGTCTGCTCAGATAATGGTGAGATGTAACACACACAATGTAACAAACGTGTATCTTCTGTTGTCCATGTTATACATACCTCAGCCAGGACATGGTGATTGTGAGCTGAAAGTCTATATTGTGATCCATAGCTAGTCAATGCATACCTGTGTGAATTGATTTCACCAAGTCATTGTCACCCACAGAATGCATGCTCAGGAAACAAAAGATGTAATTTTAAGCTGTACACTTGTATGAAGATAAGGGATCTTCAGCAAACCATACTTGTCGTAAGATGCTCTAAAACTAGTGGAAGTAGAAGGATGTTTCAACTTGGTTGTTATGTGTCATCATATGACTAAATGTGTAGATCAATGCGTATGATGCCAGTACGTGGATTGTTTGGTCCTGGACAGACCATCATCATGTAGCTTCATTGTTGCTGACTGTGGAATCAATCAATTAATCAATCATACATTCTTTTGTCCACACTGTCAGGTTGGTATTTTAATATATCTTAACCAAGGCATAAATTGATGTAGGATTTTAAGTGTTTTAAAACTATCCACAAAATTGAATGTCATATTTACAATGAATGTTTTATTTTGCATCTTTTCAGAGGTAAATCAAGAAAAACTTTTTGAGCTACCAAATATGTCAGATCAAATAATGCAGCTGCTGGAGGTCAAATTGAAGGGTCAAGGTCGAATGTTGAAGTCCTCATGTGTGAATCTGTTGTTCACCGTGTCCATGACCAGTGTTGGACGCCGCATCATACACACCAAGTTTGACCTGTCCAGGTAAATGTGAAGGATATTTGTTGTAGTAGACACTGGTCTGGGGAACTAGAACATAATTTCTAGTTGATCCAGGTTAACGTCTTCCAAAACTAAATTTGAAGTTTTGAATTCTTATAATTGATCACATGATGATATATATCTGTTTTATTAAGACCAGAAACTACAACAAAATCTCTGATAGTGGACATAATGTGATATTGGTTGAAGTTTGTGTTGTCAGACTGGTGTATGTTCAACTAGTAATGTGGTCCAGTTGTCTGCAATGGTGCAACATGTTATGCAGAGTTGTCTCCCTTGTCACATCAGGATGACCATTCTTTCTGGGTCATAAAATGTGATACCAGCCCTGTACTTGTGTTTATTGGTTTCACGGGACTGTTGAATGTTAGGACCTGTGTTACTTTAGGTTTACCTCCCACATTAAACATTTTAAGCAGTCATGTCATTGTGTACATGAAATGCTGTACTGTAAGCCCTACACAGGGGTCCATCCTAACAACCGGGCATTGCCAGTGAATATAGCACATGTATTGCTAATGTATGGATAACAGTTATACTGACATAATGGTATGTCACAGTTTGTCGATATACCCCCATTGTAATCCTGTGTCTATCAGCACCAGTGATCATGGATTTCACTGAGTAACTTAAAAAGCATCATTTTCAGGCCTGTGATTTGTCATGTGATAAAATGTTTAATGGCAAGAACAATAAAACTCCATGGTTACACTATTACCTCATAACAGTATGTATGATCAGATTGTTCTATACACATATCGAAATACTTTTTGCAAGGACTATGATAAAACAGCTTCCCATCAGATATTTCTTATCCAATTCTTGCGACCTACATCGGGGACCCAGGTAGACAATTTTGATTTGTTCAAACCTTAGCTGACATGCTGTTCAAAGCAGCATCAAACTTGCTCATTAATATTCATTACTGGCATTAAACAGCCAAACTGACAGTGCTAGGAGAAACACGAAGTTGTTCACATAGCCCAGGTTGAATACAGTGAGTCTGATTACTTCAGTGTTTTGACCCTGCTGACTTGTAGAGATTCCTTCAAGGAGTCATTCCCTTCCTGCCTAGATAGACTGCTTTATACTGTATATGCTGCTCTTTTCCTCCTTCACATGAAGTGACAGTGTACAGGAATTGGGCTTGACCTGCTCAGAGATTGATATTCTACATCAAAGTCTATAAGTGATGATGTCACACGCACTGTCAGTTTAGAATCATAGATATACCCCTGGAGTATGAAGTTCATTTGCTTTCCATATTTGTACCGTCACTTGCTGTTCTGCCAGACTGTGTCAATAAACAGCTGTAACTTAACCCTGTGTTGTCTTCCAGGCTGCTTGTACGTTTGTTCAGTCTGATGCAGAAGTCGGGGGTGTTGGCTGTGAAGTCTGCTGCCTGCCTCAACAACATGTCTCTGGACAAAATGTATGTCTCACTAGGTATTGCATCATGTCATAGGGTGTTGCTGGGTGTCACTGGGTAAAACATCATGTCATAGGGTGTTGCTGGGTGTCACTGGGTAAAACATCATGTCACGGGGTGTTGCTGTCACAGGGTGTTGCTGGGTGTCACTGGGTAAAACATCATGTCACAGGGTGTTGCTGGGTGTCACTGGGTAAAACATCTTGTCATAGGGTGTTGCTGGGTGTCACTGGGTAAAACATCATGTCACAGGGTGTTGCTGGGTGTCACTGGGTAAAACATCATGTCACAGGGTGTTGCTGGGTGTCACAGAGGTAAAACATTGTCACAGGGTCTGGGTGGGTGGGTGTCACTGGGTCATGTCACAGGGTGTTGCTGGGTGTCACTGGGTAAAACATCATGTCAAAGGGTGTTGCTAGGGTGTCACTGGGTAAAACATCATGTCACAGGGTGTTGCTGGGTGTCACTGGGTAAAACATCATGACTGGTTGTAAAACATCATGTCAGGGTGTGGCTGGGTGTCAGGGTGTTGCTGGGTGTCACTGGGTAAAACATGTCATAGGGTGTCATAGGGTGTCACTGGGTAAAACATCATGTCATAGGGTGTTGCTGGGTGTCACTGGGTAAAACATCATGTCACAGGGTGTTGCTGGGTGTCACTGGGTAAAACATCATGTCACAGGGTGTCAGGTGTTGCTGGGCGTGCAGGGTGTTGCTGGGTGTCACTGGGTAAAACATCATGTCACAGGGTGTTGGGTGTTGCTGGGTGTTGCTGGGTGGGTAAAACATCATGTCACTGGGTAAAACATCATGTCACAGGGTGTGCTGCTGTCACTGGTGTCATGTCTGGGTGGGTAAACATCATGTCACAGGGTGTGTCACTGGGTAAAACATCATGTCATAGGGTGTTGCTGGGTGTCACTGGGTAAAACATCATGTCATAGGGTGTTGCTGGGTGTCACTGGGTAAAACATCATGTCACAGGGTGTTGCTGGGTGTCACTGGGTAACACATCATGTCACAGGGTGTCACTGGGTAAAACATCATGTCATAGGGTGTCACTGGGTAAAACATCATGTCATAGGGTGTTGCTGGGTGTCACTGGGTAAAACATCATGTCACAGGGTGTTGCTGGGTGTCACTGGGTAAAACATCATGTCACAGGGTGTTGCTGGGTGTCACTGGGTAAAACATCATGTCACAGGGTGTTGCTGGGTGTCACTGGGTAAAACATCATGTCATAGGGTGTTGCTGGGTGTCACTGGGTAAAACATCATGTCATAGGGTGTTGTCTGGGTGTCACTGGGTAAAACATCATGTCACAGGGTGTTGCTGGGTGTCACTGGGTAAAACACATCATGTCACTGGGGTGTCACACTGCTGGGTGTCAAAACATCATGTCACAGGGTGTTGGTGTCACTGGTAAAACATCTTGTCATGCTGGGTGTCACTCACTGGGTAAAACATTATGTCACAGGGTAGGTGTGTCACTGGGTGGTAAAACATCATGTCACAGGGTGTTGCTGGGAGTCACTGGGTAAAACATCATGTCACAGGGTGTCACTGGGTAAAACATCTTGTCACAGGGTGTTGCTGGGTGTCACTGGGTAAAACATCATGTCACAGGGTGTTGGGTGTCACTGGGTAAAACATCATGTCATAGGGTGTCACTGGGTAAAACATCATGTCACAGGGTGTTGCTGGGTGTCACTGGGTAAAACATCTTGTCATAGGGTGTTGCTGGGTGTCACTGGGTAAAACATCATGTCATAGGGTGTTGCTGGGTGTCACTGGGTAAAACATCATGTCACAGGGTGTTGCTGGGTGCCACTGGGTAAAACATCATGTCATAGGGTGTTGCTGGGTGTCACTGGGTAAAACATCATGTCATAGGGTGTTGCTGGGTGTCACTGGGTAAAACATCATGTCATAGGGTGTTGCTGGGTGTCACTGGGTAAAACATCATGTCATAGGGTGTTGCTGGGTGTCACTGGGTAAAACATCATGTCACAGGGTGTCACTGGGTAAAACATCATGTCATAGGGTGTCACTGGGTAAAACATCATGTCATAGGGTGTTGCTGGGTGTCAACTGGTAAAACATCATGTCACAGGGTGTCACTGGGTAAAACATCATGTCATAGGGTGTCACTGGGTAAAACATCATGTCACAGGGTGTTGCTGGGTGTCACTGGGTAAAACATCATGTCATAGGGTGTCACTGGGTAAAACATCATGTCATAGGGTGTCACTGGGTAAAACATCATGTCACAGGGTGTTGCTGGGTGTCACTGGGTAAAGCATCATGTCATAGGGTGTTGCTGGGTGTCACTAGGTAAAGCATCATGTCATAGGGTGTCACTGGTTAAAACATGATGTCACAGGGTGTTGCTGGGTGTCACTGGGTAAAACATCATGTCATAGGGTGTCACTGGGTAAAACATCATGTCATAGGGTGTCACTGGGTAAAACATGATGTCATAGGGTGTTGCTGGGTGTCACTGGGTAAAACATCATATGATAGGATGTTGCTTGGTGTCACTCGGTAAAACATGATGACATAGGGTGTGGCTGGGTGTCAATGGGTAAAACATCATATGATAGGGTGTGGCTGGGTGTCACTGGGTAAAACATTAAGTCATAGGGTGTTGCTGGGTATTACAGAGTGTCGCTGAGTGTCTCATGATATCACAGGGTGTCAGTTACTGGCTGTCATTGGGTATCACTTGATATTACATGGCATCACTCAGTATTGTATATCACATATGGCAAGGGCATTACTCGGTATTGTATGTTATCACTGGATATGAAAGGGCATTACTCGGTATTGTATGGTATCACTGGATATAACAGGACATCATCGGTATTGTACTGAAAGGGCACCACTTGGTATTGTATGGTATCACTGGATAGGAAAGGGCATTACTCGGTATTGTATGTTATCACTGGATATGAAAGGGCATTACTCGGTATTGTATGGTATCACTGGATATAAAAGGGCATCACTCGGTATTGTATGGTATCACTGGATATAACAGGGCATCACTCGGTATTGTATGGTATCACTGGATATAAAGGGCATCACTTGGTATTGTATGGTATCACTGGATATGAAAGGGCATTACGGTATTATATGGTATCACTGGATATGAAAGGGCACTGGATCACTGGATATAAAGGGCATCACTCGGTATTGTATGGTATCACTGGATATAAAGGGCATCACTCGGTATTGTATGGTATCACTGGATATGAAAGGGCTTCATTTGGTATTGTATGGTATCACTCGATATAAAGGGCATCACTCGGTATTGTATGGTATCACTGGATATGAAAGGGCATCACTCGGTATTGTATGGTATCACTGGATATGAAAGGGCATCACTTGGTATTGTATGGTATCACTGGATATAAAAGGGCATCACTTGGTATTGTATGGTATCACTGGATATAACAGGGCATCACTTGGTATTGTATGGTATCACTGGATATAAAGGGCATCACTTGGTATTGTATGGTATCACTGGATATAAAGGGCATCACTTGGTATTGTATGGTATCACTGGATATAAAAGGGCATCACTTGGTATTGTATGGTATCACTGGATATAAAGGGCATCACTTGGTATTGTATGGTATCACTGGATATGAAAGGGCATCACTTTCGGTATTGTATGGTATCACTGGATATGAAAGGGCATCACTTGGTATTGTATGGTATCACTGGATATAAAGGGCATCACTCGGTATTGTATGGTATCACTGGATATAACAGGGCATCACTTGGTATTGTATGGTATCACTGGATATAAAGGGCATCAATTGTATGGTATCACTGGATATGTAAAAAGGGCATCACTTCGGTATTGTATGGTATCACTGGATATGAAAAAGGGCATCACTTGGTATTGTATGGTATCACTGGATATGAAAGGGCATCACTTGGTATTGTATGGTATCACTGGATATGAAAGGGCATCATTGTATGGATCACTGGATATAAAGGGCATCACTCGGTATTGTATGGTATCACTGGATATAACAGGGCATCACTTGGTATTGTATTGGTATCACTGGATATAAAGGGCATCACTCGGTATTGTATGGTATCACTGGATATAACGGCATCACTCGGTATTGTATGGTATCACTGGATATAAAGGGCATCACTCGGTATTGTATGGTATCACTGGATATAAAAGGGCATCACTCGGTATTGTATGGTATCACTGGATATGAAAGGGCATCACTCGGTATTGTATGGTATCACTGGATATAACAGGGCATCACTCGGTATTGTATGGTATCACTGGATATGAAAGGGCATCACTCGGTATTGTATGGTATCACTGGATATGAAAGGGCATCACTCGGTATTGTATGGTATCACTGGATATAACAGGGCATCACTCGGTATTGTATGGTATCACTGGATATAACAGGACATCACTTGGTATTGCAGGGGTATTGCAAGATGTACCTGGGTGTTACTCGGTACTACTACAGGTCACTGGGTTTTACAGGGTGTGACAGGGTGTGATGGTATTGCAGGGTGTGACAGGGAATTACAGGGTGTGACAGGGTATTGCAGGGTGTGACACGGTATTGCAGGGTGTCACAGGGTATTGCTGGGTGTCACCGGGTTCACATATGATCCATTAACACAGGGTTAGTTCAACATATCCTTTTCATGTCCAGGTTCCGCAGTAAGATACAAGCCAAGATGGACTCCGATATCTTCCCTGCCTTCCATAAGCTTGTGGTAAGTTGAGCACAGGTGCTTGGTTTATATAATGCGTACAGTGTTACATTTCCTCAATAGACAATAGACTCGGGGATGTTTTATTATTCATTGTTGGATCCTGTGTGGTTAGTAAAAACTGAATACTGGAGGATTGACAAATTTGGGTTCAGAATATACATTAACTCCGGTGTACATTATACATTACATTAAGCTCTGTAATCATATAAGTAAGTATTCAAACTACTTTTTAGTTTTCATACAAAGAAAATGAGAATAGTGCATTCTGGATAGACATGAATCTGTAGGCTATGTACATCATGTTGGTGAGTCATGCTTGAAGATACTATTTTGAAAGCTGTCATACATAATTGTGTTGTTACTGGTAAATGAACAGTCCAACCATCAAGGGAGGTAACATTGATTCACACTCCAGTTACAATCACTACAGCAATATTTTATGAGTGCCTCAGTCATTTGCTGCTGCTGCTGCTGACATTCCCTGGTAGTGATCCAACAGCAGTCTCCACTGCCAGATAACAATGGAGACTGAATGTGAAGCATGATGGGTACTTGTGTTTCAGCACTGTAGTTCCTGCGAGACGGCTGTTCTGGCTAGTGCTGTGACCTGCATGATTAACCTGGCCAGTGACAGGGCCATCAGGGCCAAGATGGCCGCCTGTAAACATCTGTGGGAGGATAGCGTTTACCTGCTGGTGAGGAGACTTCATCAATGCACATGTCCCACCTCGTACAGTTCATGATATATGATAGGCAGCCCTTTCTCATTGTATACCATGCACCAGACTTCCTTTGTACACAGAAAAGATACAGTCATTTATCTAGGATTTGATTCCCCTGAAATTATCAGTGTATATTATTATTGATGAAAAATGTCCCCAAATATCGGAACAAATATACTTCAATTCTTTAATGTTGAAAATGTGACAGTGGAGTAGGCTGCTGGTTGTAGTATTCACTTGTCACTGAAGCCCTGGGTTTGATTCTCTGACATGGGTTGCATGATAATCATCATATCATACCAGACACAGACAGCCCATTGATCTGCTCAAATTAACTTTCTCTTCAGCATCCTCTGCAGGTTTGAATCCTCAGTTGTCCCATATCTTGACCCTGGTTTGTCAGCACATTAACAGATGAACTAACATCTTTGAATATTTCCTCCCTGATAAAGTGACAGGTAGTTTAGTAAATGAAATACTATTCCTAGCAGTATCACCATGTTTATATGATGCATTTGGCATACAAATTCATTCACTCATTCAGGCTTCTTCTCTATTTTCTCAGACCCATCATCTGGCAAGGTCTAGGACGGACTCTGTTCACCGGGGTATAGTCAGCGAGGTGCTTGGTTTGTTCCTGCACCTGACAGCCAACACTAGTCCAAATCTTGCTGAGTTTGCCTGTGTTTTGTGTCAGCATTGTGTTGAGTTGTGTCGGACAGAGTTGGTGTGTGTCATGATCCTGGAGCGAGGTCTGGGACTCCTGAGCCACATCTTGCCCCATGCAGCTCCAGCAGTAGAGTGGGCGTGTCAGAACGGGGGACCTGAGTTGTTCCTTCAGCAGATACGGGTAGGCTCAGTATTACACTCACTTCTTAGTATGTTCAGTATATCACCCTCCACACACACACAATCCTATGTATAGCCTGGAACAGTCTCCCGCAGAGCCCCATTCTTCTAGATCCAATCTAAAAACACACATGTTCAAGATAGCCTTTGAACTGTAGCTCTTTACCATTAATCTCATCTTTATCTTGTGCGCTTTGAGCATGCTTTAGCATGGATATATGCGCGTAACAAATATGCTATATTTTTCCTTATCCTGACTCATGCTCTTTTGCTTGTCTTCTTCTTCTTGCTAACATAGTGGAACACTTGTATCTCCTTATTTGAAGCTCCCTTCAAAATAAAATCACTAATTGGTACTCACCACGAGTTGCTCCCCTTTGTCTCCCCTGGCGGGAAAAGGTGTCGCCACCCTCTGGCCATGTGCTTCACTCTCTCCTTCTTCGCCCAGTGAGCAGGATGTGAGAGCGCCTTGTGTCTCCTTACACACATATCCTTTGATAATCTCTTAGTTTTACCTCTCATAGGTTACTATAGAGGTATAGCTAGTATCCTTTACTATTTGTATTGATTAATTATCGTGATTTCTACTGTTTATTCAATGTATTCGCGGATTGTTCAGCTAGTTTTACGCTCATGAAAATCTGCACGATTTGTAGATTACGCTTTTTCTGCCTCCGATCCACATGTAATATGCCCTAGTTGTTCTACGTGTGCGTTTAATTCCACCGTTGCAGTTACTGCATTAATTTATCTCATTCTGCATTTAATAAATATCATCTTTGCGTCTTTAAGACGTGCTGCAGATAGATCACGCAAACAAGGGCAAAACATGGCAGAGAGTCCAGATATTCCTTCCAGTCAGCTGCTAGCGAGGACGACCCTCTCCCGCCTGGTGTTCTGCTAGAGACCCCTGCGCAGAGGAACGTGGGGCGCGAGTCCGTTACTCAAGAAACGACCGCCTCCCCAGACATCCCGGCCATTGCAGACTAAGTCTAAGAGAGGGCCTCATCGCCGCGTCTCAAGCGCAGATTGAGGACACCCAGGGCAGCGCAGACTTCCAAAGGGAAATCACGAAGACAGCAAGAACTTTCTCAGCCGAGATCGCTCCAGCAGCAGAGTTGGGCTCTACGATGATCAGCCGATAATCATCCCCGACTTACGGCAGAAGAAGCGACCGGTGTCAGCGACTGTGACTTCTGCAGAGATCTCCATGCAGCCTGATGCCTCTACACCGACGTCAGACGTCATTGATGTGAACCCCATCGCAGAAAAGACGCCGACGACTTCGTCACAGATCATCCCAGAAGACATGATGCGGCAGATTATGAACATCATGGAGGACCACTACAAACTGCGCAAGCAGGGTCCGAGCCTTCGCGAAGGCTCCAACGTAGACAGCACCCCAGAGGCACCCCCCGTCAACGTAGCAGCCAAGACGATGTCACCTTCGCGAAGGAAGTCCCGCACCACCTTGACGAAGGACCTAGATGTAAGGCGGGAGAGATCATCACCATCTTCGATTTCATCTCTAGATATGGACTCAGACCATCAGACATCACGGAAGCCTTCGCGAAGGTCATATCATCGATCCCCCGGACCGGACGCAAATGAAGCTTCGCGAAGGCATTCGCGAAAGGACATATGATTCCAGATCTTCATCGTCTAGAAGAACATCGAGGGACTGCCGAAGAGCTTCGCGAAGCTATCAACATTCACCTCACAAGTCTCCGAGAAGATCATCCCATAGACGATCTCCACTCCGTTCATCACCAGGTCGATCACCCATCAGATCTCCACATAGAGCAGCGCACAAGTCAACTAGATCGCCACAAACCTCATCAGATATACAGACAGCTACACGCAGTCCGAAGAGCATCTACAATTGATTAATGATGATGGTTTGAGGGATGATGGAGAATCATATTTTCTGATGCAGAGATACGGTATGGATGGTCAATAACCTAGATCTCACATCACCATCTAAAAGTGGCAATACAGCTCAGGCGTATTTGATGAAGGAAGATGATCCAGATGCAATCACTCTACCCCCGATCGACCGATTAGCGGCAGTGCCACAGAATCTAGATGCAGCTTCCAGAAAGCTACGAAAAGTTCAGATACCACATCTACCCAACTTTCAAGCCAAGAAGTTCTCCACGCATAACATGGACTCCTTCTACAAGGCCCAGGACATCGATGAGAACTATAAGATCATCAGCGATGTAAAGAACAAGATTTACAAGATGGATGATCGCATAAGTTGGCTCATATAGAAACCATGATGAGGCGTATGTTCTTTGGGTTAAATAGATCTAGGACGATCAATGAGACTCTTATTACTAGATTCGGGATTCCGACGAGGAAGATGATAGAATGATTTATTCTGCCTTACTTATGCAAAGAAAGATCAGCAGTTTTAGCGGATCATCTTACATCTGTTTCAGCAGCACTGACCTTAGCTCGTCGTCAAGGCCTCCTCGCCTCCTGTAATTGGGGAGAACTTTACAGCCCCACTTTATACAGCCCCGTGGTCGACAACATCCATCTTTGACGGAGAAAAGATAAGGTACGCCAAGGAAGTCTCTAAGGATTCCAGGGAAGTCCTTATGATTAGATCGATGGACACACTAGCCAGCGCCATTCGTCCAGACTTCACAAAGATACTCAGGCAGATCTAAGTTCACGGGCCTACAAAGAGCAAGAGACAGGAAGATAGCCAGCTCTAGAGGTAAAGATTCTTTTCGTCGCCCATATGGCAACTATAGAGGAGGATCAGGAAGAGGCAGGACACCCAGAGGTTCCCGCAATTATAGACGCTGAAACACAGGTTCGGAACGACTGGAGTCTTCCACCCCCAGCCGTTCCAGTACAACCAGCTCAAGTGGGTGGACGCCTCCAACTACACTGGGAAAACTGGGGAATACTGCAAGATCCTTACGTCTCCAACATTATTCAACACGGATTTCGTATCCCTCTACAGGACAAGCCTCCGCTGACAATCAAACCCCCCAAGTTCGATTTACAAGCGCAACAACTACCAAAGATAAAAGAGGCTGTCTCATCACTCCTATCCAAACAGGCCATAGAAGTAATAGACCAAGCAAACGTCGAACCAGGTTTCTACTCCCCAGTTTTCCTAGTTCCCAAGAAAAACTCCACGGAGAAATACAGACTCATCTACAACATGAGCTTTTTCAACAAGAACTATCTACGCGAAACCACCGAAGTTTCGCATGATACATTTACCTCAGTTACGCCAGATGATTAGATCCTATGGACTACATGGGCAGCATAGATCTACAGGATGCCTACTTGCACATCCCCATTCATCCCGATTCCAGGAAATACCCACGATTTACTCTAGAAGGGCTACATTACCAGTGGAAAGTACTCCCATTGAATATCATCAGCCCCTGGCTATTCCGAGGATAACGAAACCCGTTATCAAATTTCTACATCGTCAAAGGGCTCGCACGCGCTTTTACCTCGACGACGGGATACAAGTAGATCAAGATCCACTGCGTCTCAAACTACAGTTAAATTACATCATAAAGCTACTAACACAACTAGGTTGGTTAGTAAACTTACACGCAAGTCGGACCTAGTACCATCGCCAAGACCTACAGTTCCTAGGTATTCGATTCATCACAAATCGCAACCGTATTATGGTACCAGAAGACCGTTGGCTCAAGATACAACAGACCATTCCACCAGCTCTACTCTCTCCGTTACCACTGCGACAATGGCAGAGCCTACTAGGTCTTCTCACATCAGCCCAAGACATGACTGTCACAGGCAGATTACAGTTACGTCCCCTACAGGTCCTCATCAACGCACATCTCAACGATGTACAACCATTCAGTCTACCGAAACATCTCAGACCACATCTACTATGGTGGACCAAGAAATCGATGTCTTGCGAAGGGATTTGTTTAGCAGAGCAGGAATACAAAACCCATCTGTATGTAGGCGTCACTCCAAGGTTGGGAGCTCATCTCACCAACCACACGATATCAGGGTTATGGAATCAGCAAGAATGCAAACTCCATATAAACAGTCTAGAAATGAAAGCTGTAATCAACGCCATTCTACATTGGAGCACATTTCTACAAAATGCGCGCCTAATGATCCATACAGACAATTCGACAGTGGCGTTCTACATAAACAAGCAAGGCTCAACGAGATCGATGAACCTTTTGAACCTAAGCTTTCAACTGTTCGATTTAATACAAGATCTAAATCTACATGTCAGAGCAGTGCACATTCCCGGAGCCAGAAATATACTAGCAGGCGCTCTCTCGGCCTCATCTACCATCACCGACAGAGTGGATGATCAACCGGAAATTTTGCACAGATAATCAAGCAATTAGGGCCGCTAATAGACCTATTCGCCACGCGATTCAACAATCAGCTACCGACATTCGTGTCACCAGTCCCAGACCCCCAAGCTTGGGCAACGGACGCTCTAAGTCTATCATGGGAAGGCCTCAATGCGATGCAGCGTTTCCGCCAGCAATAATACCTCAAGTATTACAGAAAATCAGACAAACACAGAGCCTACAACTCACTTTGGTCGCGCTTCTACTGGTCGGCCAGAGCGTGGTTTCCATACTAATTCAAGAAATCGGTCAACCAACACTGGAGCTACCCAAGCGGCGCAAACCTGTTAATTCATCCTCACACCAAACAAGTGCGGAAACCCAGCAATGTTCCAACTACACGTATGGACTGTATACAAATGTGTTTAAACAAGAGAGGATATTCTGCCAGGGCGGCAAAAGCAGTCACGCTTGCCTTTACGTTACTCAACTCGTAACTTGTATGCGGCGACAAGTGGCACAGTTTCGAAAATTATGCAACAAAGAAAGGGTTTACAGCAAGAGAGGCTTCCACAACCTCAAGTGGCAGACTATTTGTGTTACCTACGCCAAAACAAACATTTAAAAGGTTCAACGATATCAACATATCTTGCGGCTTAGCTCTGTAATCACCATGAGAGCGGGTGTCAAATTGACAAGATCTCCAGAGTTACTGGCCTTACTACGAGCTTTCGATTGGAGGACCAAAGCGGAAGTTCCACGCCCAGCTTGGGATCTGAATGTAGTGTTACAACACCTCGCAGTGAGGTCTATGAAACCCGGAATCGACAAACTTTGAATTTCTCTCACAGAAAACATTGTTTCTGCTATCGCTAGCCACAGCAGCAAGAATGTCTGAAATTCGCGCTCTGGATTACGAGAGGATACAGTTTGATGACAATCATAACACAGCACACCTCGGATTAAGATGGGATTTCATTGCAAAGAATCAACTGCCAGGTCAACCAGACAGATTATTCCACATCCCGGCTATCCTCTATTCTCGGATCACAAGATACACAAGACCTATCACTGTGTCGGTAAGAGCTCAAAGTTTATTTTACTGACGATCCAAAACAAGGAGAAGATTTCTCAAACGTTTATTCATCCCATTATAAGCCTACTGAATCAAACAGAAGTGTCACGGACCACAATATCTATTTGGATAAGGACTGTCATTCTCCGTGCCTACAAGGCAGCAGGCTTGGACCCACCAATAGCATCAAATCCACATGAGATCAGGGCACTGGCCTCTACCCTCGCCCTACTACGGTAACTGTTCCTTGAACACGATTATGGAAGGATGCTATTGGAAATCTAACATGGTATTTGCTAATCACTACCTAAGAGACATCACTACAGAAGATGTCTCTGGCATTCACCATTCGGACCACTGGTCCTCAGCTCAGCAACTGACAGTCCCTCGTGGCGTTAAAATATTAGCCTCACAAGATTAATATGTATTTTATACATACTCATCTAGCTTATAACTCTAAGGAGTTTAGGGCTATGTATATATGTTCAGCTTAAGTATTCTACCTTAAGCATATACTTGGATATAGTCAATTTCAGTGCCTCTATCAGAGTCACCTATATATATATATATATAATTTATATGTATTGTTCAATATATTCATAATGTAATTCCCCTTTAATGGCTTTATATAACCTATGGTTTCTTTATACAGGAAACATCCTAAATCTAAGGCTTCATGAAGTTCCCGTGGGAGATATTACAGTATATCTATACAAAATCACTAATTATAAATCCAAAGTATTCTGTTACCCACCTCCGTTCGTAGGATGCTACAAGCAAAGAGCATGAGTCAGGATAAGGAAAAATATGTAATTTTAGAGTAAAATTGATATTTTATACTTATCCTGACTCATGAGGTTAGCCCTCCCATCCTCCCCACATAACACTTTGGATTTCCCTGTAAATTCAAGTGTTGGGCTCGCTAAATCAGGAGAGAGTGGAGCACATGGCCAGAGGGTGGCGACACCTTTTCCCGCCAGGGGAGACAAAGGGGAGCAACTCGTGGTGAGTACCAATTAGTGATTTTATTTTGAAGGGAGCTTCAAATAAGGAGATACAAGTGTTCCACTATGTTCGCAAGAAGAAGAAGACAAGCAAAAGAGCATGAGTCAGGATAAGTATAAAATATCAATTTTACTCTAAAAATTACATTATTATTATTATTATTATCACTAGCATAACTGTCATCTTCCCAAGGCAAGAGAGTTAGCTAACTAAAAATATCCTGTTTCCACCATTGAATTATTTGGAATTCTGTAGTTATAAACTGGCTGGACTTATAAGTCCAATCAAAATCACATTACAAAATCGACTTTGGTGATGGCAGTGCACATTTCTGTCAACTGGGAGACAACATTTTCCCAAAATTTTCTGGTCTTTAATTAAGGGGCTCAAGTGATGTTTGTGAGGTAAGACTCATTATATTACAGTAAAGATATTGATTATGGATCAGAGATACTGACTGGACACTGTCTGTTCTTTTGAAACCAATGCATGACAAGTTGAACTTAATAGTGAGTGAGTGAGTATGTATGGTTTTATGCCGCTTTTAGCAATATTCTAGCAATGTCACGGCAGGGGACACCAGAAATGGCCTTCACACATTGTATTGAACCTTATAGATCAGAATGGGGAACGTTGACTAGAGATAACTTGTAAACAGCCACTGGTGGTGATCAGGTCACCAACTTTCAGCCTGTTCCACAAGGATGTTAACTCCCTTGCCTTGGGAAAATGAGGGGGCGTGTCAGGAACTTGTCACAGGACTTCTTGTTCATTAGATACAGGATGGCTCAATCTCCCCACTCCCCACCCCTTTTCACATCACTCATGTATCAGATGGTTGTGTATATCTAATGACTGTAAAACAGCAATGTAATGTATGGGTGTTTCTGTTGTAGGGCCATACCAAGACCAATAAGAAATCTGCCTTGAAGTGTCTGACAGCGTGCACTCAATTAGATGACTCAGCTCGGGGATATGTTGTTAATAACAAAGGTGAGGAACAGAAATCATCATCTGTAACAGATTACCCCACTTGTGTAGCAGAAATCATAGTTAATGCAGCAGAACATGATGTTATACACTGCAAAAATGTTTTACCGTAAGTACCACATTCTGTTGTGTGTATAACATCATTTATGGCTATGTGTATGACTTAATGCTCTGCTCTGTGTGTCATGTCATCATGTTTTGCCATAAGTACCACATTCTGTTGTGTGTTTAACATCATTTCTGCTGAGGGTATAACATGTTCTGCCATGAGTATAACATCCATAATGTTATACATATTGCATGTTATACTCATGGCAGAACATGATGTTTTATACTGCAAGCGTGATGTTATACATTCATCTTGATGTGACACACAGAGCAGAACATGATGTTATACCCTCAGCAGAAATGATGTTATACACACAACAGAACATTTTCCACTTACAACATGATGCTACACTCATGGCAGAACATGATGCTACACCCATGGCAGAACATGATGTTATACATACAATATGTCATGACACATAGCAGAACATATCATATAGTCAGTAGAACCCAATGTCCTTTACACAGCAGAACATGTTATACAGATAAAACAAATGTTGCATAATGTTAAGAGCACCAGGACATGAGATACACACAAGAGCACCAGCACTTTAGATACACACAAGAGCACCAGGACATGAGATACACACAAGAGTACCAGCACATGAGATACACACAAGAGTACCAGAGCATGAGATACACACAAGAGCACCAGGACATGAGATACACACAAGAGTACCAGGAAATGAGAGACACAAGAGCATCAGGACATGAGATACACACAAGAGCACCAGGACATGAGATACACACAAGAGCATCAGGACATGAGATACACACAAGAGTACCAGGACATGAGATACACACAAGAGCACCAGGACATGAGATACACACAAGAGCACCAGGACATGAGATACACACAAGAGCACCATTATTTGAGATACACACACATACTCATAACAAATATCCATATTATTGCTTCAGGAATTGCAAATGTTTGATTCTCAATTCATCTCAAATCTTTCATCAGCAAGATGTTTTGTGTTACAGGTCTAGGCCTCCTGAAAGACCTCCTGAGTGATGAAGATGAGGTGGTTGTAGGTAATGCGGCCCTCTGTCTCAGTCACTGTGTTGTTGTACCCAAAGCTGCCAAGGTCCTGACAAAGACTGACATCATCAAGGAGCTGCTTGTCTTGGCCAGAGACGGGAAACAGTCAGCTGTACAACAGAACTGTGCCATCCTCATAGCCAAGCTAACTCAAGGAGACCCAAAGTAAGAGCCCTGATGTGTGTCACATTATACTATTCTTTAAGGGGTGCAGGTGGCACAGTGGGCTAAGCCTGAAACTCCCTATGATCCCAAACTGAACTAGGATCTGTTTGTTGCAGGTTTGAATCTCAGATATGCCATGACAGTGAGTCTTTGTCTAAGGGATTTTATGGATGTTCTAAATATGAAGAAAGCTTCCTGATAAAGCTTTCCTCCCTCCCAGTACTGCACAACTGGTACATACAATGTACTTTTGAGTGTCACTTACTGATGATTGATCTCTTGAAGTGCATTTGGTGACTTTAAGCAGTTCATAATCCTTAGACATTTCATGTACTCAAATCTAATTTTCCATATTCCCACAAATCTAAACAGTAACATTCAATCATCTATTATTAAGGTATATGTTATTTCATGCAGTCTGCTACATACATCTTGCATGGAGGTTTGGAGTAGTTTAGCTCTTGTTTTAGCTTTGTGACACTCCATCTGTACTCATGGGTGTCATCAAAGTGGTACATGTCGGAGATCTGCATCACTTTGGGCTTTCCTCGTATGTTAAGTTGACACGCCATGATAATACCGGAATACTGTTAAAGACAACAATTAACCCAGATCAGTCACTCAGTCATTTATCAACATGACCACCCTGTACAACTTGTGCTTCTGTTTCAGACATCTGGAACGTCTCCGGGAGCTGCATGGGGTGGAGATCCTGCACTCATGTATGCAGTACATCAAGTGACAGATGGGCTGGTTGTGTGTAGCCATGATCATTACTCAACTGATACTGTTCGCAAGAGAAGATAATCACACATGTCTTGGACATTATTCTGAGGTGCTTGTTAGTACTTGGATAATCAAAGCCTATGATCTGACTTTGTTCAATGATCACATGTGTGTGTGTTGTCTGAAGAATGCAATTACAAATATATTGTTTGTATTGTTCAATTTTAGTGACATTAAATTATTTTTAGATCATTTCTCTTTCTTATTTTTGTATGAAATAAGTCCAAATACTGGGCCACACAAGACAACACCATCAAGATTTTGCATTGAGACACATCTCCACATGTAGGCCCTTCTGAGACAAACATGGCACAGACATCCTCCGTTATGTTAATAATAATGAAGGCATATTTATAATGCGCCTATTCCACACTCTCAAGCATGCTCAAAGCGCTACAGATTATTTACACTAGAGTATTTACTGCTGAAATTATAAGTAATATACTGAGAAAAGGTGGGTTAAGTCTGGACTTAAAAATATCAACTGTGTCAGAGCTTTTAATGGCACATGGGTGAGAGTTCCAAAGCACAGGTGCACAGTAAGAGAACAATCGGTATCCAAAGCATTTCAGTTTGTAGGATGGGGTGACCTGTAGATTTTGTGTCTTTGAGCGCAAGTTGCATGCGGGGACATACGGATGTAGGAATTCAGACAAGTATGAGGGAGCCAAACCATGGAGGCACTTGTATGTCAGACAGAGGATCTTAAAGTCAATTCTGCCCCTAACTGGTAGCTAATGCAGTTCTTTCAACACGTGTGTGATATGGGAACGTTTAGAAGTCTTGCTGATGATGCGGGTGGAAGTGTTGAGACACGACACAACAGCCCCAGCCATTCTGAGACACACATAACACAAACATCAGTCCTTATGTTGTGACATGTTACAACATCCACCATTAATGAAACATTACATTTTAGTGGTGTTTATTGTATTAGGACCACATCCACTGTTGCTTGGTTACATTGCATATTAACTTATATGAACTTAATCAACATCAGGGAGATTAATTCTTACAATTATTCCAACACCTATCAATACACCGCACTGATCATGGCTAACCATTCTACTTCTTTCATTGTTCATATCTCTAGCTCTGACGGTGACCATGTGCCATCTGTCATATCTGCAGATACTGGATAGGGCCTTTCCATTCCTTTATATATACATGATGTTACTCCATGCGAACGGCGTCAGTTCCAAATGAATTTCCATGATTCAAAGTCTCAATAACACCAGGAAATTGATCAACACATGATGTTTATCTCCTAAACATTGCTTCACAATATAATAGAGAAGTTGTTATCAATATATGGCTCAATTTCTGTAGTGTTTGTTCTACGGTTCTATTGTGTTGATTGTCAGTCCTCAAATGATATCTATTCTGTTTTAGCGTATCTGTCAATGGTTGTTTGTCTCTGTTATACCCGGTGTCTTGTCTTGCCTACAGTGTTTTGTATCTGTTAGAGGCAGTGTTGAGTCTAGTCTAAGGTGTCTGTGTCCGCTAGAGACAGTGTCATGTGTAGCCTATAGTGTTTGTGCTTGATATATGTAATTTTCTATGGTGTTGTGTGTAGCCTTTGGTGTCTGTAAGGGATGGTTTTCTGTCCAACTTCCGTATCTTTGCCCGTGGTGTCTGTATCTGTAAGGGATGGTGTTCTGTCCAGCATACATTGCCTTTGCCAATGGTGTTTGTGTCTATGAGGTGTGGTGTTCTGTGATGGTATGTCAGTCCTGGGTTTTTTTAATCGACCTCAGGTGGTTGTACAAGCTAAGGCGTCGGCCCGTGATGAGGCGACCATCCCTGCCATAACGTCTGGCGGAAGGAATCAGAGCAATATTAACAGTTGCCGTCTGTAGCCTCTGGAGTTCATAAAGCACCGTGTCCGACAGGACGTCAACATGTCCACCGAGCTGACTGCCAATGTAGATCCTGTTCTTGTAGACGAAAAAGTTCCGGGGTATATAAGTCAACTCAAACACGTCGGCGAAATATACTGCAGTTTTCTTCTGTATATGTGGCGGACTATTGACACGTAATGCCATCGTTCGGTTGGGGTAGAATGCTATTGCCCGGGTGACCCGGTGATGTGAAACAGGCATCTTTATCACCCTCGTGTCGCTGTTAAAATATAGGACGCGTTTGTCTGGATCCAAACTCACAGCATATATGTGACTACCTCTATACACATCACGAAAGACTTTACCGTAATTGTTCATTTCAACGAGTTTAGTATCACAAGCAACGTATATCATGGACCCTACAACAGCAATGCTGTGCGGATATCCACCACAGTTCGTCAGATCAACTACCCTCCTCATACCTCTGCCTTTGGTCATCCTGCTCACAGTATAATGAGGATAAAATGTCGTAAAATAGACGTATCGCCTTCCGTCCACGGTCATGCCGCTCGACGCCATGTTGTTCTGTATGACTGACATACCTGGCTGGTCCAGTCTGTACGATACTATCCTCTTTGGATTGCGTGAAGAAGCATAGATCGTTTTTTCTCTTGACATATAAACTACAGACACTACTTCCCTTAAAACAATGAAGGGATATCTCTGAACTGAATTATTCTTCAGATGTATCTGATTAACAGGCGTCTCAGCCTCCGAGAATGGAACAACAAGGATCCGGGCGGTCTCATCAGTCGCAACTGGCGGTTTGAGGGAAGGGGTTGTCACTGTCATTGACGACACATGCGCCCCCTGTGTAACCCTTGTCATATGTTTGTCAGCTTTAGGCTCACACCCAGCACACACATTTTTGTCAAAAACATCCATATATGTCTTTGCATTCATAAACGCCTCCTGTGACATATTCAGCGATTGTTCTAAAGTATTGACCCTCTCATTGAATTCCTTGCGCTGTTTGTCGAGGTTCTTTCTCATAATTTCTCGCTCAGTCTCCGCCTGGGTAACACGATGTGTCAATAAACGCACTAGTCCCTTTAAATGATGGACCATCCCTTTAAGGGACCTGATTTCTCCTCGAACACGTTCACTGATTATTCCTTCGATGGATTTGTCTTTCAGCATTTCCCCAAGAGTTTCAGTGACAGACCTCTGGACTAAACCGGGAAGGGTGTTTGCGAGACCAGTGCTTTTTGACAATTCTTGTTTGATCGAACTCGGCTCTGTGCCAGGAATAAGCGCTCTCATCTTTTGTAATTCTCTCTCAAGGACGTTCAGTTGTTCCCTGAAGGGCGTGAAGCTGCTCTTCTCCAGACTGACGGGTACCAGCCACACAGTCAGACCGAATAACATCAGGTTCAGTTTCGCCATTGCGAGACAGTGCAGTATGTGGTGTTAGTGTGATTTGAACCTTGGACCGAGTCAAGGTACGCATTCATCTGATAGGAGGTTATTTCACTTTGTTGTCTCGTATCAAGTGACATTTGCAGTCCATACAAACTAAGCGATGCAATGAATAATGTTTGAGATGGTGTTCTGTCCAGCCTATGTGTTTTTGCCTATGGTGTCTGTGTCTGTAAGGGATGGTGTTCTGTTCTAAGCGATGCAATGAATAATGTTTGAGAGAAAGTGCATGTCGCACGATGCTAGTTTTAGACTAACAGACATAACGTTTAATCCTTCCAGGGATGTGCAATCCTTAATATTTTCTTTTATGTTGATAGTATTCTTGTATGTACCATTAATTTAAGTGTGTCCGTATGTAGCGCGTCAGGATTCATGATAAGTATTGAGATCTCCAACAACAAATGTTATTGTTATTTTTCGTTACACTTTGTGGGTTACACGTTTAATTCCAACATGTTGTCACCGTGACACCGGGTGCACCTTTACAAAGAAACGTAACAAAAATAGAAATCCTTTTATATTTGTAGCTTAAACCAGAGACCATATAATAGATTATTATATGGTCTCTGCTTAAACATATTTTTATTTCCAAAGAAATCTGGATCGGTAAAATTTACTGAATATGTAAATACCTCTCCAGGTAATGAGTTGACACAGTTGTACAAACGGAATAAAGTCAGTATACTGGAGTATTATATCCTTTTATATTTTTCGAAAGTACAAATATACATATAGGTATGTGTTTATGAATCATTATGAGGTAGGTATGAAGAACATCCTGAAATCTATATAGCAAAGAACTTGGTTTCTCCAGCAACAAAGTGGTCTTTTTTGCCCAGATATATGTCGTACACAATGGGTTTGGCACCCTCAGTGGTGGAGCATTCGCTTGTAATTGCCGAAGGTGTTGTACACAGGTTGGAATAGACGAAAAATGACGTCATCATCGAACACCTGGCTGACCTCATTTCAAAGGGGTGTCAATGACCTTGTACCGAGCTGACCTTGGGATAAACCACTTTCCCAGGGGTATTTTTAGATCAGGAGCATAGCAACCGAAAGAGAATAACATCATGGTAGTCATGTAGATTTACATGTGTACGAGTGTGATGTTCATCGTACAATATTGTGTGTATTTGTGACTATTTGAGAATAAATCAATTTTGGTTATAAAAGTCCTAACAAAAGGTAGGTGAAGGGAGAGCAGAGTGGCACAGTGGAAGCGCACTGGGCTCATAACCCAGAGGACCGTGGATCGAAACCACGCTCTGCTAACAACATGTTTTTAGAAGTTAGAATTAGGGCTAGCATACATCTATATAAAAGACAGAAACGGTGATTAAGCCTCATTGAGCTGTGGACCCGTGATAGTGACACTTCATCTGAAACCTCTGTGTGAGAGTCAGTATTCGTTCTGAACAAGACAATGAACAGGAGATACTGGAGACCCTATTTGGACGATCCTAAGAAATGGACCAAATATTACTATTTGCAGGCTAAAGGATATCCCAATCCCTTTACTAACGTGGATGATTATGTGATCTATTATGAGAAACAAGGCGTCAAGATGGACCTACCCCATTCTACAGACAACTTTGCTCTCACGTCTCCAACCCAACAAGTCGTTCAACAGGCCAAAGCTCGTATTCAGATGCAGGAGAACGGGAAAACTGAAGCCAAAATAATGACTTCCTCCCAGAGTCGCACAAAGAAACGGAAGACGTGTTTTTAGATAAAAGCAGCTAGTAGACAGGTTCTTTGCCATTTAGACTCGGACCACCATGCAGCCAGCAACGTGTCCCGTGTGCTATATGACTTTTTCCAGGACAGACAATATGTTGAGACATAGAAGACAAAAACATCAACAAC